AATGCTGGGAAAGATGGAGGGCAAAAGAAGAAGGGGACGACAGAGAATGAGGTGGCTGGATTGAGTCACTGAAGCAGTAGGCCTGAATTTAAATGGACTCCAGAGGATGGTAGAGGACAGGAAGGCCTGGAGGAACGTTGTCCATGGGGTACATGGGTGGGACATGACTTCGCAACTAACAACAGTGTCTATTCCCTCAACACTCTGAATTAACCAAGTCCACGCTGTGCCAACCCAGCTGCCTTAGGTGCCCAGTTCTGGCGTGCATAAGCACACCCGTCCAATATTCCCTTGCATTCGTATCCATTTCATGTATTCATAACCATGTTTATTCTTATATCTGTTATCTAATTCATGCTTGATGAAATAAGTAAATAAGTAAGTAAGTCCAGGTTCACATCATCCCGAGTTGCCCCTTAAAAAAAACCCAAACCAACTTTGGGCAACGCGCAGTCTCACACACACGTACAAAAACCCTTTACCCGGGGTTCAATCGTGCGCGTTTTGCCCAAACACAGGCTCCGCTCAGGTAAACGCGGGCGAAGGCGTCGTGCGAATAGGCCGAGAGTCCCCTTCCCTACGACTGACGGTAATATTAACCCGAGATAACCTTCTCCCGTCCGCGGAGGGGCAGGAATTTGGCGTCGGAGCCTGGACTAAGGGTTACCCCGTGACGGGCGGTGGGTCACATCACTCGAGGCACTATTTTGTGCTTCTAAAGCCCCCCCCCCCCCCGTTGTGGTTGTGCTTAACAACAGCTCCGGTGAGAAACTCTGCAAAGGGGAAGGCCGGCGGTCCGGAACGGGGAAGGTGGGCGCAAAAGCCGCCCCCGCCATAGCCGGGAAAGGGGCGGGCAGCGGGCGGCGCCGGACCAACGCGGCTGCCTTTCCCCCTTTTCCCGCCCTGCCGCCACCTGCAGCTCCGGCTTCCTCCGCCTGGCGTAACTCTTGCCATACCTGGCGAGGCCACGTCAGGGGCTCCAGCCACGGCCGGTCGCTCGGATCCCTCCGCACCATGATCCCCGCTCGAGGCGGGGGCTCCATGCCTCCGCCGCCCAACGCCACTGCCTATTACCCCCCGCCGCGCGTGAATCTGCCCTCCGGCTTGGAAATCCTGCGCACTTACTCGGGGGCCTTCATCTGCCTGGAGATCGTGAGTGCCGAGGGGCGGGAAGAGGAGGAGGAGGAGGAGGGAAAGAGGGGGAGAAGGAACCGTGGGCGGCGGAGGGGCAACAGGTGGGACAGGTTCTTCTCGGCCATCCCTTTCTGCGAGGTCGTGGGAGGGAGGGGCCCTCTCTTTCCCTTCCTTTGGCTCTAGCAGCGCCCTTGCTTGCTTTGCTTCGTTTTCGGCCGTGTCCCCTTTAAAAGAAAATCAAAGCGATCGACTGATAGGAGGACTCGATCGGGTAGGTAGCTGGGCAGATCAAGAAAAGTTGACTTCCGCGAAGGGCGTTTGGGGGGGGGGGGACCCTGACTACGCACAGATCGGTCTTGCAAGGCCATGCAGGGAAGCAGATACACCTGTTGGATTCCGCACCTTGCATACAGCTGTCGGACGCTCAGGAAAGGGAAAACAGCCGCCTGCCCCTTAGTCCCAACTTCTGGCGACATCATCCTCAGACTCCAGCTTTTCTCCGATCCTATTTACGTGGCGTATTTTTCCCCCCGAGGCCTTTACAGTAGAATATTCAATATACAGTAGAATATTCCATATATATTTTTTCTCATGGGCTGTTGTATCTCTCAAAGCAGAGTAGCTTGCAGATGCAGCTCTTATTATAACTGCCTAAAAGGATAAGCTAAAATAAAACAGGGAGGGGCTTCACCTCTAGCGTAGCATAATATTTACAGATTAACGGAGTTGGAAGGGACCTTGTGGGTCATCTAGTCCAACCCCCTGCCCAAGCAGGAGGCCCTACATCTGCCTCTACCTAGAATCAAACTCACAACCTCCTGATTGTGAGGCGAGAGCTCCACCTCTAGAGGTTATCTTAAGCAAATATGGTGTTAAGCTTATTGATTTGATTGTGGCATGTTAGGTGAACATAAGAAATGGATTCATTTTTAGAATTTGGATTGTTGTGGGGATCGGTTTTAGTGGCGTATCCTTTTTTTTTTTATTCATTTGTGCATTAGACCTTCGACTTTGGTTCTCCCTTATCTACTTAGTCAAAAGCTTCCTGCTGTCTTATTTAATTATAAATCTCTTGGGCGAGGGTTGGACTCCATGACCTACAAGGTCCTTTCCAACTCTGTTAATCTGTCACATCTGTTAAAATTCCCATTGTCTTTTAATTTGGGCAAATAAAGAGATCAGGTAGTTTAGTCCAGTTTTATGTAACTAGCTTTCTAGAATCTCAAGTAGAGATCTCTTCCTGCCTTTGTACCTGAGGAAACTTACCTCTGGAAGTCAAGATGGGACAAAATATGCACAGAGCATCTCCTCTTCAGTTGTACTTCTTATTCAGCTTTTTTTTCTACATCACCACACCCTTTTGTTTCTTCTTTTTTGTTTCCAAACAGCACAAAAGATGGTGTGGTGATTACAACTGATTACATGCCACTAAAAGTCAGTTCAGAGGCAGGATTTGTCATCACGTCTCTCTAATAAGTTTCCTAAAATTCTTGTAATACTTTTATGATGCAGGCAAGTCTCAGCCTGGGTTATTTCCTTATCAGGGAGAGGACAGCATTAAAAGAAATAACATCTAGAAAGAGTGCAGAGAAGAGCAACAAGGATGATTAGGGGACTGGAAGCCTGAAACATATGAAGAACGGTTGCAGGAACTGGGTATGCCTGGTCTTATGAAAAGAAGGACTAGTGGTGACCTGATAGCAGTGTTCTGATATCTCAGGGGTTTCCACAAAGAAGAGGGAGTCAAGCTATTCTCCAAAGCACCTAAGGGTAGAACAAGAAGCAATGGTTGGAAACTTGATCAAGGAACCAACGTAAAACTAAGGAGAAATTTCCTGACAATTAGAACAATTTATCAGTGGATCAATTTGCCTCCAGATGTTGTGAATGTTCCAACACTGGAAGTTTTTAAGAAGAGTTTGAACAATCATTTGTCTGGAATGGTACAGGGTTTCCTGCTTAAGCAGTGGGCTGGACTAGAAGACCTCCAAGGTCCCTTCTAACTTTCTTGTTTTATTCTATTCTATTTGCTGGATTTTAATCTCTCATATTGCCAATAAACCAAAAGATCCTTTCTAGAAACCAAGCTGGCAACGTTTTCCTATATTCTAATCTCTGTATTTCTCTTACACCTTTCTCGAGCACACCTATGTTGTTGAAACTGTACACTGTCATTACTCCTCCAAACACTTCCTGCCTGCCAGCTCTTATCTGAATGTCATTCTTCCTGCTATTCTTTGCAGGATCAGGGTGTGCCAAGGATAGGTAACAGAGAAGTTCGAAGAGTCACCTGAATGCCCCTTAGCAGCCCAATTATCAGAGAGAAAAGTCCCATCACCAGCTCATTTTAGGAATTGGCTTCACCCTCTTCTGTCTTTGTCTTCACTGACAAAGTCAGAATGCCTAGCTCACCTATTACATGATACCATGATTGGTTTAATCATGATTTAGTACAGGGAAGATCAACATGGTCTGCACACAGCCTCCAGCATCTGGACATAGTGTTGCATCAGTTCAACAACAGAGAGGCCAAATTTCTCCTCCCAAAAAATTCAAAATTAGTCCTCCCCAAAAGAGTACTAATTATTTGGGGGGGGGATGGGAGTAATCAAAACATTTGTCATGAAATTGAAAAAGATGTCTTCAGGTGATTAAAAGAAGCTTGTCTCCTGCTCTTAAAGCTCTCCAGAAAAACCCTACAATAGGTTGTCCCATCCCTTTCCATGACATCACAGCATCATTGGGTAGCCTTCTACAGCCAACTGAATATAGCAGAGACTCCCAACCAGAGTCTTTTGCCAATATGTTGACAAGGGACTCTCCAGTCACAGACGATCAGTAGGGAAGACAAAGCATCAGAATTTTTTTTTTTATTTGGTGACGTAGGAGATGAGCCTCTTGATGCGGGTGAAGGAGAGCGCAAAAATTGGCTTGAAACTCAACATTAAGAAAACTAAGATCATGGCATCTGGCTATCTCAATTCCTGGCAAATAGATGGGGAAGAAATGGAGGTAGCAACAGATTTTATTTTCCTGGGTTCCAAGATCACCAGAGATGGGGACAGAAGCCAAGAAATTAAAAGACGTTTGCTCCTAGGGAGGAAAGCTATGGCAAATCTAGACGGCATCTACTAAAAAGCAGAGACATCACCCTGCCAACAAAAGTGTGTGTAGTCAAGGCTGTGGTTTTCCCAGTTGCAACGTATGGCTGTGAAAGTTGGACCAAAGAAAGGTTGAGACCAAAGAATGGAGGCTTTTGAACTATGGTGCTGGAGAAGACTCCTGTGAGTCCCTTGGACTGCAAGGCAATCAAACCAGTCAGTCCTGGAGGAGATCAACCCTGACTGCTCTTTAGAAGGCCAGATCCTGAAGATGAAACTCAAATACTTTGGCCACCTAATAAGAAGGAAGGACTCACTGGAGAAGAGCCTAATGCTGGGAACGATTGAGGGCAAAAGAAGACAGGGACAGCAGAGAATGAGGTGGCTGGATGGAGTCACCGAAGCAGTAGGCGTGAGCTTAAATGGACTCCAGAGGATGGTAGAAGACAGGAAGGCCTGGAGGAACATTGGGGTCGTGATAGGTGGGACATGACTTCGCAACTAATAACAACAAGGAGATGAGTAGACTGACCTGGAAAGAGGGATCAAACACATCATCAATCTCGAGACCTTTTTTGGCCATAAGAGACTGACTCTTCTCTACCGCCAATTTACTTGTATAGAGTTTTAGCATGCAATAAACCTGTATCTGTTTGAACCACCTTGGTTCTTTCCTGCATTTAACAGATGCTCTGAAAAACAATGAGATCCCGTTTCTCTCACTTGCTCTTTCCTGGAACCAAGTTAGTGGAGGAAAGTAAGAGCGATTAATGCAGCTGGATAGCAGTGCACAAAGCTAACATCTCACAGGTCCTACTCAAACATTGTTCTACTTATCATTGCTTATATAAGATAAAACTTTGAAACAACTCTTAAAACATCTTCTTAGTCACTCTATCCCTGAAGGCATGACTAAATGGCTGGGAGCAGTTCCTTGGTGCTTTTCTCCACATTGCCTCATCACTCTGCATGGTCATAATATTAAATATTGTGTAATTGTTGAATTTTTTTTGTTAGCAAGGAACGCTGATGAATTCCCCGTGAGATTTCTGCAAATTTTCTCTAGCACAACCCTGCTATTGTCCCAGAAAGTTGTGTCCCCTGGCCTTCCAGATACTATTTTATGGAATAAATCATAAATGAAGCTGGCTATATACAGCATTCTGGACCACAGCCAAACAAGACACATTTGGATTTGCAATTTGTTCAGCCGCTGGAGTCACACGACCCATTAAACTATTATTATTTTATTGTATTACATTTAGAGGCCACCTGGCTGCAAGTGACTCTGGGCATCGTGCCCTTTAAAAAAGCAAGAACAATAAAATAAAGAGAGGAAATCATGTATATCTGAAAAAAAAATACACAGCTTACAAAAAAAAACACCACCCTAACAGAGGCTGAACATTAGGGGAAACCAGCTAGATTTTCACGGATCTTTAGAATATCCCTCAGGGTGGGAGCTATATGAATCTCTGAGAAAATACTGTTCCAGAGGCTGATATTATATCAAAAGACCTATTTCCTAGGTCCTGATAAAATAAAAGTTCTGTTTAATTAAAGGGATGTGCCAAGCCTTACACAAACTATTTGAGATATGCACTCCTTCAAATAATCAGGTCTAATTCCGCAGGCAGCTTTTTAGTCATTCATTTATTTATTCATTCAATTTGTATGCCAGCCCATCTCAAAACCAGTGAGTCTGTATGCAAGATACTCCAGCATTTTGAATTGCATCCTGAAAGCCAATAGGTGATCAGTGCAGGTCACAAATAAGTGATGACCACGTGAGGATGTCATGTTTTGTTCTTCATTGCCTGTGCTGCCACAGTCTGGACCAGCTATAGCTTCCAAATGGTTTTAACAGATTAACAGAGTTGGAAGGGACTTTATAGGTCATCTAGTCCAACCCCCTGC